GCCAGTTTAATAGAACAAAGTGTTCTTGCATTGAGGGAGTACTTGAGTGGAGGCCCAATGTCCATCTGCTACCTTAATACTAAACCTATAAATACATGCACATAGATCTATCTCCCCGTCATCACATAAGACAATTCTTTCGATGGTCATGTGAAATGCATCTGGAAAAGGACCCAGTTGTGGTGAAGTTGATGCTGACTCATGAAGACCGAATGCTTATCAGAATAAAACTCTATCTATTCCATAGCATTTCCAATGGGTGCCTTCTCGGAACTAGACTGCCAAGCCTACTTATAATTGGTAGCGAACTAACTATTTGTACCACCAAGGGGTTTTGAGGGAATGATAGGGATAAGGAAAACAATCTGAAAGCAGACAAAAATATTACATGCAAGCACACACCATTTGACCCTGAAGTCTGTACTAAAGGCAAGGCCCCAGGAGTTCCTTTGTGCAAAAAAAATCAAAGGAAAATTAATTTTTCTGTCAAAATTGTCCTCTGTGTTTTCTATGACACTTCCCTCAGGAAATCTGTTTAAGGCAATATTCTCCCTCCTGACTGTGTGACGGACTCTCAAGTTATTTGGGGGATAACTAAATAAAGTGAGTTTTTGATATAATTTGTCATGACACCTGTGGTACATTGGGAAGACTTCAATACACAAATATCTTGATTCAGTCCTTCAAGAAATGCACGAGGGAGCTCTCCCAAGGTCCAGGGTGGTGAGTAAGACCCGAGGGGCCATTGTGGCTGAGGGTGTCGAGGTGGGTTGCATGTGGGACACGATTAAGTATGGGAAGATGAATGAGCTTGGATTCTCTGAGGCCAACAAACACTGTGCCCCAGGAAGCATTTTGTACAGAATCTTGTGCAACGATTTCATGAGTAAAGCCATGGTTGTACACAGAGCGGTGTGGAATGCCCAACCTGGGAAAAGTGGTAATCTGGTGCCAGAGCATTTCCGTGTGGAAGAAGTCAAGTAACCCGATCCTATCACTGAAGGCCAAGTACAAGTGAAAATGCTTTATCTTTCTGTGACCACTTACACGCGGGGGCAGAATGAATGAAGACACTGGCAGTGATGAACTCACACCCTAACAGCTGTCTCAAGTGGTTGATGGTGGAGGTGTTGGAATTATAGAAGAGCAAACACACACAACATACTAAAGGTGATTTTGTGACTTCATTCTATTGGCCCTGCCAAACCAAGCCTATTCTGCATGGAAATCTCCTTGAAAAGGTAAACCCACAACTTGTGGATGGGCACCTTGCATACTTCCTTGGAGGGACAGGAATGCCCGGCTTGACTTCCTTGACTGGGATATCCCCCGCCCCCCAAAAAGGCCATGGAACTGCTGGCTCCAACTGGACGATGGTTGTCAGTGGGGCTGCTGGGGCTGTGGATCTTTGGCCTGACAG